TCAGAATATCAGAGTAAAATTCCCAGGCTGAAGATTGTGGTGTGTGCCATGCTATCATCCTGAGACCTTCCCCTTGCTAGTGGAAGTACCTGAAACCAAAACTGAAAACTATAAGCACGAAGCTTAGTGAGTCTCCCCAACTACTACATACCATACACATATCACATAACATATCCTGGGCCCCGCCCCTGCTACATCGAGTCAAGCTCGGCATCGGCTATCCCGGCATCGAGCCCCGCCCGACATCGAGCAGATCTCGGCATACATATACATATCAACATCATATAACATAGCATATGTCTTTAACATGAAAACATTCCTCGGGCCCCGCCCGACATTGGACTGAGATCCGGAACATACTAACATTCTTCGGGAACCGCCCCGGCATCGAACCTAAGCTTGTGTAACATCCGGATTCCCAGGTATCTTATTTTAAGTATTTATATTGAATTTTAGAAAGGGACTCGGCGAGTAGGCGCTCAGACTCGCCGAGTGGGATCGCGCATTTCTGGTCTGATTTAGTGAAGGACTCGACGAGTCGATGCGTGGACTCGGCGAGTCCGCGCTGTTAAGTGAAACCCTAATTCTCGGGGCCTGTGCCCTATTTAAAGGCCTTTATAGCCTCCATTGCGGCCACTTCCCCCCTGAGAAACCCTAGAGAGAGAGAGCGTTTGTCGTGCTAGAGGAAGGCTAATTCACCATTTCTTGAGTGTTTTAGCAAAAGAGAAGTGGTTTCCAACAAGAGGAGGTCAAGGGAGCTGTGGATCTAGAGTTTTCAAGTTCAGATCTACACTATTGAGGTATCAAATCGAACTTCCCTTCTGTTTTGGGTTAAGATCTATGATTTAGGGTTTTCTATAAACCCTTTTAAGGCTTGGAAGGTTGAGGTTTTGGTCCCTTGCTGGGTTAGACCTCAGATCTGGACCCATAGAGGTCCAGAGAACCTTTCCCATTCTGCTTTAAGCTTGTTCATGGAGGATTGGAGACTAGGTTGCCATTTTTAGAGCTATTTCTCCATTTATGTCTTGATGTGGGTTGCATGCACGTAAAGGTTGCACCTTTACGTGACCTTTGAGCACTTGAAGGCCAGATCTATAGTTTAGAGAAGCAGATCTGACCTCATAAGGTCATTTGAGAGTTGTTATGGGAGCAACTCGCCGAGTCCATAAGTGGACTCGACGAGTCGAGTCGGGGTTGCCCCGCGATTCGTGACAGGTGTAACCCGACGAGTGGAAGGATGACTCGACGGGCCAAGAGAGGCTGAAAGGATTCAGAGGACCAGCATGAACTCGCCGAGTCGCCCTTGTGCACTCGACGAGTCGGGTTAAAGTTTGACCGTTGACTTTCGTTGACCTTAGGGTTCTGGTCAAGACTGATTCAAGAGAGTTCAGGGAAGGGTAGAATGGCCTTCTACCCAATCTGTAAAGATGAGGCTATGAGAGAATATTGATCGGGGATGTTATTTGAATAATAGGAGGAGGCTAAGTCGGGACGTTGAGCACGAGAGTTTATCCGACTTCATTGAGGTGAGTCTTCTCACTATACTGTACCTGGAAGGGTACCTATGTGTGACCGGAAGGTCTTGTATGCTATGATGTATATGCTATATGCGGTTATGTGATATGTGTAACCGGAAGGTCTTGTATGCTATGAGATGTATGTGTTATATGCGGTTAAGTGATATGTATGTGTTATGTATGTTATGTATGGTAAGGACCGGAAGGTCTACCGGGATTCGGGACGGAAGTCCCCTGAGACACATGGATCGGAAGATCCTATAGAGTTATGGCCTGGAAAGGCTTATGTGTGGTATGTGGTATCTTGGGGAACTCACTAAGCATTTATGCTTACAGTTGTTGTGTTATGTGTTTCAGGTACTAGCGAGGATCGCGGGAAGGCGCCGGCATGATCCGTACACACTTATAGAGTTTATGTTATTAAGATTCTGGGGACATGTTTTGTTATGACACAGTGATACATTATGTTTTGTCATTTTCATGTGATTGAAAGTATGATTTAAAAATGAAAAATTGTTTTGAAAATTCACGTTGTTACAGCTTGGAACACATAACACATAACAAACACATGCAAGAATCACAAAGACATCAAGCATACAAGCATACGAACGTTCCTCAGGACCACCCCGGTATCGGATTGAGATCCGGAAAACATATATCCTACTTCGGGCCCCGCCCAGCATCGGACTATGGTCCGAAACTACTACTATCTAAACGGGCAGGCCTTGGTTCCTTAGACTCGTTCCTACTGGAGAAAACTCACCTTGCAAGACTGGCTACTGAAGACTCGAGTGAGAAATCCCTGTCTGCTGCTCCAGCGACTCCCCGGCTATCAATTCCAATATAACACTTAATCAGAATCTACTAATCCTTTCTTAGGGTAAAATGACATTTTTACCCCTGACCAAGATCAACGTCAAAGTCAAAGTCAACTCCCATTCAACCCTACTCGTCGAGTCTTCTCCCAACTCGGCGAGTTCATGAACAATTCAGACCATGATCAACTAGGTCAACTCGTCGAGTCCCTTAACAGACTCGCCGAGTTCTTGCTGTCTTAACAATCGGTACAACCCGCTTCTACTCGTCGAGTCCTTCCCTGGACTCGGCGAGTTCCCCTGTCTGATTGAGCCATCTCAATGGATTAAGCTCCTACCATTCAGATCTATGTTCCTAAGTTCGTTTGCTCACTGGAAAGGCCATTCTAAGGGTAAAGTTTCCAACTTTACCCATTCATAACTCTTCTTAAAGGGTTTAGACAAAACCCTAATTCCTTTAGGACATGAATCTTGTCCAAAAAGCCTTGGAATCTCAAATCCACTCATGCAACCCTAGATCTAAAGTCCTAGCATCTGTTGGACACATAAAGCTTCGAACTTCCTTCCATGCATGGTCTTTTAGGGCTAAAAGGACCATAAACTTGCTCATATACTTGCATGGGGCTTCCATGGTCATAAAGTTTGCACCTTTATGCCATGGAACCCTTCCTAGATCCTAGATCCTAGATCTGAGATATTAGCCACTTGGGACGTTCCAACCCCAAGGACCAAGGTTCTTAACCCAAAATCATCATAATATGGAGATAACTAGATCTAAGAAAAGAATGATCAAGTTGGGAGCTTGATTACCAGAATATGCAGTAAATGAAGTGTAGCTCCTAGATCTACTTCTTCCCCTTTGAGTCTTCACTCTTCTACTTCTTCTACAAGCTTCACAATGCAAAAAAACACTCAAAAATGGCAAGAACAAACTCCAAATCACTCAAGGTGGATTAGGGTTTCGATAATAGGGTTTGGGGGGGGGGGGTGATGGAGGCTAGGGTGGAGGCCAGTTATGATGCTTAAATAGGGTGCAAGTCCTGAAGATTAGGGTTTCCCCCTGATGGACCTACTTGCCGAGTCCAGGATTGGACTCGTCGAGTAGACCATTTAAATTTGCGACTAATCTGGCACCTACTCGACGAGTTAGGGCTACCAACTCGCCGAGTAGCTCTTATAAAATGAACATTTTAATAATTTAAATACGTACCAGGAACCAGACGTTACAATATTAAATAACTAATTTAAAGTAAAAGACATTTTAACCCTTTAACCAACTTTGGGTCGGTATTCAGTATTTACGACTCATAATCCTCACGATGTTTATATGGTTTTCTATTGGTATGTGACTGTTTGCTCAGTTTATTTTCAATCCTTCTAGTTTTGAGTCCAATTGTTGATGATTGGTTGGACTCAAGGAGCATTTGCTTATCTGTCAAACCATATTGTTTATGTATGTGTGTTTGTGTATAAGAGGTGGTAGGGGCATAATAGATAGAAGTGAAAGTAAGTTGATATTTCTTGCATCCCTTTTTTGATGTTAATATTGATTTGTTTGTTATACCAACATACTTTCACTTCCTCTTATTATAGCATTTTACTTTAATAAATTTACTTGATTATAACGTTGTAATCTATATTCATAGTACAAAGCCTTTTTCTGAAATGCCCCAACCATTACTCGTGTATCGCATGAAAAGGAAGGGCACACAGTGATTCTTCATCTACTTTGTATTGTTTTTTCCTACCAGGGGGTATTTACTTCTATTTAGTTTTCTTTAAGTCCTGCGATCCTCATGGTTTAAATATTTATAATAGAGCTCCTATTGCTAAGGATGAATCGAGTACAAAACCACTTGTTTTCCCCTACAAGTTGTTATGGGGTCTGATTAAAAATATACTATTCTGTGGAGCATTTATATCAGCAATATTTGATGGTAAATAGTTATTAATTACTCATACCAAATGAGAAAAATAACTTCAACTTATGGTATATTATGGTTCCTACCAATAGTACAGGGGCATTTCTGTCAATATCTTTTTTCCCTTTTAAATAATGTATTTTTCCCATCTGATTTTGACTAATTAAAAACATATTGTTAAGACATGTTGTTGATTGAAAACAAATCATTTGTATTTTATAATTTTATTGCTTATTTATTTTTATTTTTTCAGATTTATGTCCATGTGTAATAGAATTACATAAATAGTCCATGTGTAACATAACTACATAAACATGCATAGAACATAAAGAAGAGTATGAAGAGAGATAGAAAAATGAAGAGAAAAGTAGAGAAAAGATAAAGACAGAGACAAAGATAGTGTATGTGCAGACTATGGAAAGAGCCTGAGATGAGGCTAAGAAAGAGTACAGTAGAGTATGAGAAGAACTTGAGAAGAGGCTAATAAAGAGTATGAATTGGTATTAGAGCCATAGTTTAAGTTAATTATGTTTGGGTGTAGCCATTCCTAGTCTTTAACTGTGGAAGAAGCAGAGATTATGAGTTGGTTTTATGATAAACCATGCTATGAGATTAAGTACTCGGCAGAAGATATGTGAAGATAAAGAACCTGAAAGTTGAGATAAGAAGATTGACCAACCTTGAAGATTTGGTTCTAGTATGTTCATTTGTGAAATAATTTAAGAATGGGCTCTCTAGTTAAAGAGATGTCAAGAGTATGTAGAAAGAATGATACCATTATATCATGAAAGAAAGATATGTTATAGATGATGTGTCGTTGTAAATGGACAACAAATAGAGTACATATCCCAAAGAAGAAGAGTTGGTGAAGGTTAGATAATGGGGAAAAAAAGAGGGACAGGAAGAGCATAAATAGTAAGAGGGTTGTATACCCAGAGAAAGAAAAGAAAGATAGAGAGATTCTATCTAAGAAAGAGTCAAAGAGTCAAAGAAGTGTACTTATGAGTACAAGAGTAGATTGGCATTGCTTGAGAGAAAGTAGTCATGTAGAGGATAAAGTCCATTGTTAAATGGAAAGTGTATGAAATAAGATGAGTAGAGCTTGCACCATGTCACTGATGCTCTAGTGATAACACTGACCAGAGATAGATTGGAAGAGAAAGAAGATAGATGTGTAGATAGAGAGAAAGTGGTGCAACAAGTGTCATGATGGACACTTAAGTGAAAAAGAATGTTAGTAAGAATGTTCCATTATGCTATGTTAAGAGCTAAGGAACATGAGAAGACGGGTCAAGACTTATGAGGAAGTAAAAGATGTAGAGTAAGAGGACACTTTGTTAGTGTGCCCACAAGAGAGAAAGAAGAGGAGATGTAGCTCCTAGGGTGCGAAAAGTAATTTCAGCCTAATCTCAACTTCTTACCATGACATTTCACTATTTAGCTTACGATTATTAGTTGGTAAGTTTCAGGAGTCTATATGTGTTCTTGTAGCTTATGTGGTATGTGTTCATGTAATATGTTTATATGTTCAGTTTTAGCATCCTTGTTCTCGAAAGGGGTTAGAGGAACCAATTGAATCAATCTTGTTCTCGAAAGGGACAAATGGAATTGGTTTACAGTCATGTGCTTACATCCGTTGATATTTAATATTTTCAGAAACTTCAGAGATAGATAAATGTCGTCATAACAAGAATCGAATAGAATGATATTTTTCTCTTTGAAAACAAACTAATCTTTCATTTAAATTTTAAGATCAAAACAATAGCAGACAAAACGTGAAAATTATGAGCCACAACTTGTCAAATATAGGAGTTTAGAGAAAACTGAAAAAATGAGTTTCTTTTTTAAACAAAATAAAAGAGTAAATGTTTAAAAATAAAATCCAAAAATATATTTTAATCGTTTGGCACACATATTTTATTATTTTCCACGGTTCAAGTAAAATCCCAGCAGAACCTCGACGGCCAGTCGGCCACTGCACTGCAAAGACCCTTTCTCTCTCTTTCTGTTGTCCCCAATCTTTCTTCTTCAATCACCATCCTTGCTAAATTAGGGTTCCAAATCTCAATCCTGTAATTGATTTCTTGGGGTTTGAGGTTTTGAACTCAGCATCAGAATCAAACAGTAACTTCTAGATCTGCATACAATTCTTGGATCGATTCGACTCGCAGTTAGTCAGATCAGGTAATTCACAATCCTTACTGTTCATGAAGTATCATACTGATCATTGCTATCAATCTTAATTGAGAAATTGAAAATTTTCATCCTTAAATCACATCGGAACATTTCCTCTGTAATTTCATAATCCGTATGTTCCTCGTTATACTTGGATTACTAACCATTTTGTTATTCGTTGCAAGTTCATGAACTTAATCATACTGTATACTTTATGATTGTGTTAGATAGGGAATTTGAAAGACTCTGTATTTGTTATTATCAACAATTCGATCGATTTCATATTGCTTATGGTTAAACATGCTAGTGATGATTCATATTTTCAGCATAAAGCTTGTGCTGCTTTTACTTTTATATATGTTCTTTCAAAAAAAAGCAATTTTTATGGTTCTTTTCCCTATAAACACAAGTTCAGGGTATAAAAATCCCGAAATTTACATTTGATAATCATGATCTAAAACCATATTGGTTTGGCTATATTCAGAGATTCTTATAAACATCGGGACATTTGAAATGGAGTTATCAAACAACATTGCTACAGCCTTGATGAATTCCATGAAAAATGCATCTGATTGGGTGACATTTGCATACGATGCGCCTTTTGCTCGAGCTGTTGTTTTTGGAGTCCCCATTGGAGGTAGAGTTTCAAATCAATAAATCACAAAAGCTCTTATTCAAGCAATTAATACTGATCATATATATACTTTTGTTATAGGACATTTGTTTGTGGAAGGTCTATTACTTGTAGTTATTCTCTTCTTACTATCTCAAAAGAGTTACAAGCCACCTAAACGCCCTTTAACAAATAAGGTTTAATTCCATACTTTACAAAGTTGATTTGCAGTTATATGTATTTTGATGAAGACAGACATTTGATAAATGATAAATGTTTGTAGGAAATAGACGAATTATGTGATGAATGGGTACCCGAGTCTCTTATTCCACCTATAAATGAAGAGATGGAAACGGAAGCTCCAGTATTGGAGAGGTACGTATGTATGTATTTTTAAGAGTATATGAAATAAAGTGAGAAATGGTTTGTTTATTATTGGTTATATAAGTTGGATTACATTCAGTGCTGCAGGACCACATACAATAATAAATGGTAAAGAAGTGGTGAATTTTGCTTCTGCGAATTACCTAGGATTGATGGGAGATGACAAGTTACTTGTGAGAAAACAAAACTACCCTTTAACCCTTCTTACTTTATTTTACTATGATTCTTTCATTTTCAATTTCATTTTCATTTTCATTTATGTAAATTTAATAATAATGATTAATCGCAGGAGTCATGTACTTCTGCTCTCGAGAAATACGGTGTTGGTTCCTGTGGTCCTCGTGGATTTTACGGAACAATTGGTACAATTACAAATACCCAAATAAAATAATCTAGGGTTATTTTTGTCTTTCTGACGATGAAGATGAGAAGGGCATTCACGTCTTTTGCACACGTCCCTATCTCATCTTTTTTTGGTGTGATAAAAAGTGTCATTTTTGTTAGAGCCTAATGCATGCCAAACACAGTACAACTTGTTTTGTTCTGTTGTAAATGTAATTTTAGGAAACCACTACAAAAGTGACATTTTTTTTTTTTTTTTGTTATTTATGTAGATGTTCACCTTGATTGTGAAGCAAGAATAGCGAGGTTTCTAGGAACGCCTGATTCCATACTTTATTCTTATGGACTTTCGACTATGTTTAGTGCAATTCCAGCATTTTGCAAGAAAGGAGATGTTGTTATTGTGTGAGTATGAGGTCAAACATGTCATTTCTCATATTTATCCAAGTTCTCGACAAATAGCAAAGTATTATCTAATAGTAAAACTTGGGTTTTTACAGAGATGAAGGTGTTCACTGGGGCATACAGAATGGGTTATATCTATCTAGAAGTACAATCATATACTTTAAGCACAACAACATGGAGTCCTTACAAACTACACTTGAGAAAGTCACCCAAGACAACAAACGAACTAAGAAGTTGAGACGCTACATCGTGGTTGAATCTGTATATCAGGTATTTTTCTATTCTATTTTTATTTTTCTTTTTATTTAAATTTGATATTAGATGAATAATAAAAGCTGGTAAAATCAAATGTTTTACAGAATTCAGGTCAAATCGCACCACTTGATGAGATAATCAGGCTGAAAGAGAAGTACAGATTCCGTGTTTTATTAGATGAAAGCAACTCTTTTGGGGTTCTTGGTGGATCTGGTAGAGGTTTAACTGAACACTACAATGTTCCCGTATGTTCAATCTCTTTCTCTTATAATGAGACTAAATGACCATTTTACCCTTACATGTCAAAGGAAAGTCTTTTTTGTTGTTTATTATTTTGTTGTAGGTTGAGAAGGTGGATATAATAACAGCTGCTATGGGACATGCATTGGCCTCAGAAGGTGGATTCTGTACAGGAAGTAATAGAGTTATCGATCACCAAGTACTTACTATTACTACATCTTAATCCTTCTCTCAAAGGGCAAATCCGTAATTTTAACATGAAATAATCTTGCCACTTATTATGACTTTATCTTTGTGTAGCGGCTGAGCAGCTCTGGTTATGTGTTCTCGGCTTCTCTCCCACCATACTTAGCAAGTGCTGCAATTACTGCGATTGATGTGATAGAAGCAAACCCTAAACTTCTAACAAAGTTAAGGGACAACATCAAGACATTATTTACAGGGTTGTTGGGAATACAAGGATTAAAACTTGCAAGTGATATACTTTCACCTATTGTGTTCCTAGTATTGAAGGAATCTACAGGGTCTATGAAGAGTGATCTTCAGTTGCTTCAGGATATTGCTGATCGGGTAACATCACTTGTACTTATTTGAAATATGAAAATTGAAAAGGTTATTTTTTTTTTTTTTTAATTATTTGTGATGGAAATGGGATTTTGTAGGTATTGAAGGAACATTCGGTTTTTGTGGTACCTTCTAGAAGATCGACACTTGATAAATGCAAGCTGCCTGTTGGGATTAGATTGTTTGTGTCGGCTGCTCACACGGAATCTGATTTAAGGAAAGCATATGAAGCACTGAAGACTGTTGCTGCTTCAGTACTCACGCCTCAAAACTGAATACCAAATTGCAGGAAATTTCTTCTTTTTTCCATTTTTTTTCATAAAAAAAACCATTAATTTATTTGATAGTTTATTGTATCATTCTTGACATATCTAATTGATTTTCTTCATAATTTTGTTTCCTTATTGACACTTAGCTTCTTTTTACGCCAGCTGGAATGAAATCTTAATTTATTCGTTTATATTTGATTGAGAGTTTTGAAGTTATAATTTAATTTTTTTATTTAGTGTAAGTTACAATTTTCGTCCCTGTGGTTTGTTGATTTTCTGGATTTGCTCCATTATTAACCTTTTTTGTCATGCTTTTAGTCACCAAAATAGGAACCCTTAAGAATTAAGAGTTAATAGATAGATGTTAAATAACCATTTTTGTCATGCTTTTAGTCACAAAAAGTACTTAAAATCAAGTGTAATCTTCACAAAAAGAGACCAAAAACACATATTTTAAGTGTCACTAAAACAAAACATGCTGAATAGGGAAAACTCTTTTCATAAAGCTATTGTTTATATTAGAAACCGGCCAGAATGATACCGCAGAAACTTTATTTAGGGAATCAAAATTTTTTTTACACAACTCAAGGAGTTGAAAATATCTCTGTAGAGAATTAAGCAAGAAAACAGATAATGTAAAAAAAAAAAAATTAATCAATAATGTGCGTAGTTATACCCTGTGTGCTGTCCCATGCCATTGAAAGCAGCAGCAACACCACCATTGATCTTGTCCATAGGTCCTTGTACTTGCACTTGCACTTGACCTAGCATCGTATTGTTTCCATATGGTTGTTGCCACACCTGTTGTTCCTGCACAAGAAAACTTTGTTTCTTTTCCAAGTCAGCAAGTTGGACATACGGCGGAGGTGGGACCATAAGAGATGCTGCAAAAGGATCTTGTGGGTCCACTTTCTGTATGGGTTCGCTGGGTGCAGGTAGTGCCAACACTGATGTTGTTATTGCAGGTGTTACAGTTCTCCTCAACCCAGATACAGAACTTCCATTATTATCATATATATCATTCAACATTACCGGATCAATAACACCCGTATCAACCTTGTGATTCGATAAACTACTAGCGGATTCCACCAACGCAAGCTCCCAATCAGATTTTCCATTTTCATTTATCTTTGAAGAACAAGGCTTACTTTCAGAAAACAAAGCAAGTACTAATGTGTTTGTGTTTGTGATTGTGTTTGAGTTTGTGTTTGTGTTTGTGTTTGTGTTTCCATGGTTGTCAACGGGAACAATTTCATCTTTCAGATCCAACAGGTCACCGGTGGTTTGTGGTGGTGTGGTGGTGGATGATGGTCCGTTTTCTATGGCTAAGTTCTTAAGCCTTTTCTTTTTTTCTCTTATAAATCTCTCTAAGGTTACCAAAACTTTATCTGTAATCTTTAGAACTTCGGGAAACTCCGAAGCTCTAGCAACACCTAAATTTTTTGACCATTTGTAAAAGTCAAAAAGCTCGTCGATTGTTTTAGCTGCACTTACGTATTGATCAAAAGTTTTGACACAATTGGCGTATTCCATTTCGGGTAATCGATCAAGTAAAACACCTAAAGCCTCCCATATATCCGCATAAATCCGAAAACTTTCTCTCAAAACGAGGTGAAGTGCAACAAGAATCATTTTGTTGGTTTTCGCACTTCCAGCTGGCCTACACAATAATCCACGATCAATAAGTCGAAGAAGTTTATTCAATCTTTCCAAAACCCTATCGGGTTTCATCTCTTTAACGGGTGTAACTGCTTTTGATTCTTTTCGTGAAATCGATTCGTAGTATAAATCACCATAAGATTTGGATTTATGACTGATTCCATAACTGTGATCATCTCTAAATCCACCATATCTTTCTTCAAAACGCCATTTATCGTTGAAACCACTTAGTTTTCGTTCAAACGCGATGAACTCAAGCTTCTGATCGAGGTACAAAGCGTAATTTTTCACAAAAGCGGAATGATCCCAGTAATTAGAAAGAGCTTCAACGCGAAAATCCGACATGTTCAATACTCGTGTACCTTTTCGGCTTGCGAACATGATCTCTTGACCGAAAAGTGGGGATCCGTCTACTAACAATCTGTGTACAAGCATCAATGCCTTCAATGCCACGACCCAATCGCTTGTTTTGTTCAATCGTTTTGAGATGTTGTAAACACACGCGCTTACGTATCCTCTTGATTGGGATATGAGGTGAAGGATTTCTCTTATGTATTTTTCTTCAGCTGGCTCAATGTCATGACCTGTTGCTTTCACTATCAGCACCTCGAGATTTGGTGCTACATTGCCTGCAACTTTCGCTAGGCTTATACTAGTTTGGTCTTTCACCACACCAATCGCCTTTCTAATTGTGCTTGAAGACATCGAAGCAATAATATCACCTCTTTCCTTGGATTTATCTCACTGATTGTTCTTCTGCTCTTAATTAAACAGCAAGTCTGCAGAGAAATCGAATGAGATATAACATGTTTGCAAATCAAGACAACACTGATTAGGTAAATCGACGCGTTTTTTTTTTTTTTTTTTGCAGAGAAACCTAATCGAACAATTTATGGAATTATCAGAAGTCATAACTACATTATTCAATTTGTAGCATCTGTAATCGAGTGAAATACAGTAATCAAAATTAATCAAATTGAACGCGAAGTTATTTGCATCTCTTTGTTCGGGATGGAGAAATTGTGAACACGATCGATTAACAAGATAAGTTACGTTAAAATTAACAAAATGTCAAAACACGAAGCAATTTCTCAAAATTATATACGGTTCTGTACGAAATCAACGTCAAAACTGTGATTTAGGTCTCAGATTACGATCATTCGTGTTAATTTGAGCTACAGGTGATGATCATGATCACTTCTACAACGATTCGCAAATTACGATCTAAAATGATCACATATACTGCATCGTATATACGAAGTGAAAGAGAGAGATGGATGAGAAACTTACCGACAATTGTCAGAGAATTTGATGCTTGATTAAGAATGGTGGAAGAAGCTCCGATCTACGAGAAAAGTGAACGCTTTACAAAACCAAAAATGGCGAATGTATTGTATGGGCAACTTTATGTATGAGTGGTATGACGAGTGTTCCTTTTTTTAAACATCTTAAACTTTTTCAATTCGCCCCTTCAAGTATTCTTGAGTTTCTTAAAACCCCCCTGTGTATTTGACCTTTTCCACCAAAAAGGCAAAAACCGTTATTGCTCATTACTAAAATTTGTGTGGATTCTAATTTTCTTCTGTTTGACGACCAATTTATTTGTATCTCTTTTGAATAAAAACGCGTTTATTCGCGTTTCATTTGCTATTTAATAAAATTAAATTAAAAATAATTTTGAGTTTTGTAAATTTAATGTACGGGTTTAATATTTTTATGTCGAATTTAAATAGAAATATAGTTTTGAATCATTCGAGAGTCCAAGTTTGATTTTAGTCTAACATTTGCGCATGACACTCAAGCTTGTAGCATTACTTTTAGGGTCTGGTTTTTTTCGCTAATGTTAGAGTAAATTTTAAATTTGGTCCCTTTGCTTTACAGTTTTTGAAGGTTTTTTCCAAGTGTAATTTTTGTTGCAAATTTGACATAGTGGTTTTATTTCCAAGTGTTATTTTGTTCATGGAGCAAACCAGGAAAAAGTATACCAAAAGAACCAAATTTGTAATTTAGTCTTAGTGTTGTAATTATCTTTAAAAATATAATTTTCAGATTATTTTACAATTAAGATAGAATATAACCATTTTCTCCTTGGCCTAACGATATTTTCTTGGTTAAGTTTGTAAATAAGTAATGCTTTGAATATGAACATAAAACTATACTATTTTTAAATAAGATTCTACTTATAAAAATAAATTGTTTGGGGAGGTTTAAGTTATTTCAATACAATGTATGCAGAGTATCACTACTCATGTAAAAATGTAATTATTTTTCACATTTTTGTTATATGCTTGAAAACAAAAGTTCAAATTTCATTATCACAATAGTTATATAAATTTTCTTCAAGTTTATTCAATAAACCATTATGGTTGTGATGTTTAAAACTTTACAATCCAATATGTAACATCTTGTATTTCCGTTTTGGATATACCCTAGGGATAGTATTGTAAAGAAATTTAGTTAATAAAATTTATTATTTGGTGTTTAGATAGTTAATTATATAAATTATTTAAAAGATGTAATGGGTGAAATGCGTAATTTAGATGGGCAAAAATTAACAATTTTGTTGGATTTGACTTTTAAAAGTCAAAGAGAATTGACCAAAAGGAAATTAGATAAGAAATATGTCCAACAGTTCAATTAATGAATACTAAATTTACTAATTTAACAGAAAGGGGTTTGTCTATTTGTTGGATTTAATTACTAAATCAATCAATTAAAAGGAGTTGGGAAGTTAAAACTTAAAAATAAAATGGGAATTAACGATATATTATTTATAAAAGATAATTTATTGTTAAAAAAATGTATGTGGTTAAAAGGAATTTTTATGATTAAAGATGAAAGACCTTTTAATATCCAGTACTAAGTTAAATGTTTAACTTTTTTATAAAATAAAATTATAAATAATAAAGGTATGGAATTAAATAATAAAAAGGGCCTAAAGGTGTACGATGAAAAAATAGGAATTTAAAAGCATTTATTAGCATGTGATGGCATCATAATATTAACCAACTTAAATTTAATTAAAAGATGCATTTCAATTTGACAAAAATAATTTGGTTGACGATTAAAAAAAGGGTTAACGGAAGATCAATAAAAATAGAAAAGAAGGACAAATGTAAAACTTAGTTGCTCTCTCAAACTGGAAGTTACATGAGTTAGTTATTTAGAGGCCTTATATGGTATTTTGACTATTCATTTTTATTTTGATTATTTAAATATACTTTTAAACTTTTAAGAATATTTAGAGTTTATTATTCTCCACCCAAACCACCAAATTCTCCACATGGTAATGATAATAATAATAATAATAATAATAATAATAATAATAATAATGAGGATACATCTGATTAAAAACAAGTAATAAAAAGAGTTGATATCAACAAACACAATGTCAATGTCAATGTCAATGTCACCACCAAAACCTTTGTATGTGCTAATAAACTTAAAACACAACCTTCTTGACAACATATCTTCAAAGATTTGCAGTTTCATCGAAAAACTTTACACCATAATTCATCATCATCTTCATCTATAACACCCGATTCTAAATGTCTCACTACAGACCAGGTATCAATCACTGCCTCCTACAACTCCTTCCTGTACCTAAGTAACTCTTTTTTTCCTTTTCCTTTTCCTTTTTAATAATAAGAGGTTTTGGTTTTAACTTTTACCTCTGTGTTTGATCAGTTGTACTTGTTGCGCCAGGTGTCATGCTACTGGGCCCCGCCCCATTCTCAAGTGGAGGCGATGTCCCCCATTTCCCTTCTGACTCTTGCGGCTCCAGCACTATCACACCGCCATCTGTCAATCCTAATGCAAATTGATTCGCTTCTGTCGGATGTGCAGCAATCACAAGCGGATACACCCGTGAACTACAAAACAAATTTACAACCTTTTTAGTCAAAATTTACATTTTTCATCCCTCATTTCTTCTGTTTTCTTCCAAGGGCAAAATGGTCATTTTACGTATAATACTCACTTTGGATTTGAAGGCAAGTAGGCGGTGGAACTGATACGACATCGCAATCTGAGAGTTGAGGCGGTTAGAATACAGACGCTTCCATCTTCAAAGCCCACGTAAATCGATTGGCTATCGCATGAATAAGTAGCATGTGTGATTAAACCACTTGTTTCTTGTGGGACCCACTGTAGTGTTTTATGTAAGTCAACAAGTCAAACCCACTAGCTCAAAAAATTAAAAAAAAAAAAAGTTAAAAAAAAAAAAAAAACAAACCTGCTTGAGGCGTTCAAGTTTAGGTGCTTCATAAATAGCTATTTGAGTTTCATGAACTGCTAGCAAATGTGTTTGATCATTATGGAATTGCACACGTGTGTCCACTATAGGAGCAGCAACTCGTCCAGCTGGAATTTGTAAATGTTTACTTGTTTGTTTCTCCCATCCTTCCGTGCTCCAAACACATAACTTTATATTTTATAATAAAAAAAATCCATTAAAACAAATATATACAAATGGAATGAAAAGAATTTGAAAGTTGTTTTTGTTACCTGAGAATCGGCTCCGGAAGATACTAGAACATTAAGAATGTTAGAGAAGGCCAAGCCTGTTATTCGTTTGTTATGCCCTTTAAGCTTTGTTTTAACCTGTTTGTAACAAACAATCATTAGTTTGTTTTTCAAAAGATTTAAATAAATACGAACTTAGATTTAAATATTTATTAACATAACAAACTACCTCATCGATTCGGACATTGTATATCTGAATAGAAGAATCCTCCATGCCTATTGCTATAATGTTATTGTCTTGTGGATGGAATGCCAGAAATGTGGCGGCAGGTGGTGGTGGCATGAATGTAGTCATTGTCTGCATATACATGAAAGTGGTAAGTAATGCATGAAATAGCAATGTACTTTCAAAAAAGATGAAAGTAGGATGCTATTAAAAAACATGTGACCTTAAATGTCATCATATTGAACAAAGAAATCTTTCCACCAGATGCAGACATAACATAGGAGTCGTTTTTTGAGAGTGCAAAACATGGAACAGCTTCTTCAGGGTTTGTAGCATCACTAATAACATTAGTCATCAAAATACCACTTGTAGGTTGCCATAATTGAGGGACAACATTCGCAGTAGCCTAAAAAATATTTTTTAAAAAATAAGTTATGTTCACAATTTATTTAATTGAGAAAAAATAAAATAAATAAATAAATGAATACCTTCCCAGATGAATTCCGGTCATTTCGTTGCCATTTCCATAGTTTATGAACCGCATTGGCTGCTAGAGCCAATATTGCAAGTCCCGAATTTGTATAAATCAATCTTGAAACCTGTAAAAATATGTATATAAAATAAGAATTGTTGTGAAGAAAAGAAACAGTAGAAGAGATGGAAATGACGAAAATACCCTCATTGCTGAAGATGTTGTATCGGGAAGGCGTAATGATCGACATTGTGCGGGTTCGGTGATTTCTGTTAGTTTCCATATCCGTGATTTGTCCATTGATTCGTCTACAATTCTAGGCTTCACATCAACCAAGCTTCGACTGTCACCACCATTCTACAATTTTGACCAATTTTAAAAAAGTCAAAGTCAACATATCATGATTACAAATATTATAATATATTAATATGTGAAAGTGAAAGTAGGTTGTTATTTAATATTTCTTACCATTGCAACCATTGATGGCATTGGTGGAACTCTATCCATGATGCTTGGTCCAGCAGACGGATTAGCAGCACCAAA